ACACAGCCAATGGCATTGTGGCTGGAACCAGAAATAGTGTGGCCAGCAGGACTAGGGAGGTGATCATCCCCCTGTACTTGGCACTGGTGAGGCTGCACCTTGAACACTGTGTTCAGGTCTGGGGCCCTCACTACTAGAGAGACATTGAGGTGCTGCAGTGTGTCCAAAGAAGGACAATGAAACTGATGAAGGGTCTAGAGAACAAGACCTATGAAGATCAGCTGAGGGAACTGTGATTGTTTAGCCTGGAGAAAAGGAGGCTGGGGGAGACCTTATCGCTCTCTACAACTACCTGAAAGGAAGCTGTAGTGAAGGGGGTGTTGGTCTCTTCTCCCAAGTAGCAAGCAATAAGACGAGAGGAAATGTGCCAGGGTAGGTTTAAATTGGATATTACAAAAACTTTCTTCCCCTGAAGGGTTGTCAAGCATTGGAACAGGCTGCCCAGGGAAGTGGCTGAGTCACCATCCCTGGAGGTATTTAAAAGAGATGTAGATGTGGCTTTTAGTGACATTATTTAGTGGTGGACTTGGCAGTGTTGGGTTTAACAGTTGGACTTGAACTTAAAGGTCTTTTCCAACCAGAACAGTTCTGTAATTCTGTAACATACCACACTGAGAAGGGAAAAGTGAGTTGTGAGAAGAGGCAGCTGGTGACCTCTGGGAGCAGCATAGCTTTTCCCTCAGTAATGGGAATGGACACTTTAGCAGCTCTGGTTTACCTTTTGCAAAGCACCTGCATGCTCCCCAAACTCAGTCTTTGATGCAGAAATGACTTCTTCACTTCTAGATTCACTAGAAGGGCTAAAAAGTGGTTTTGGGTGACAGCTGTACAGGGGAGAACGTGCTTGCTTCCCACCTTGGGTTGTGCTGGGGTTTGGCTACATTTGCATGCCCTGTTCCTCACCCTCCTGGCCAAACATCATATTCTGGCTATCTCAGGGCCTTTTCTCTTCCTCCTCCACTGGGATGGGGCAGCTAGCACCTGGCCTTAGCTATGTTTGCTTTACCCTCTTACATATTCTGCTTCTTTTGGTCAGCTGGACAGACTTTACAACACTTCTTTTTGCAAGTTAACAACATGAAGGACATGAGGTCCTCCTCCAGTGACTGGAGTACAAACAGGACTGGCTCTAGCCATCTGCAGCGTCAAGTTGTAATACTCAGTACAGTGTCTCTAAACCCAGCTTTCTTCCTCAGGGGTCTGGATTTACTGGGGCTTTTGGTAGTTGATCCTGTCTGATACTCTCCAGTGCCCTCACGCTTGTGGTCCAAAGAGGATAAATCGCTTGAAAAATACAATTGATTTTCTTCCTGCAGTGTCTGTAAAATCAGCAAGGAGCATGAAAGGTGTGTCTATTTCATGTGGATTTGTGTGGCTTAATATATGAGAGTTGCTTGTATGTATTGAGACTCCCAGAGAGAATCAGCAGAGGTAGGCAAGGTTACCACTGTTAATTTAGGAGGGCCAGGATTTAGGTTTGGTTTTTTTAGTATGTCTAATTTCTATAACTTTTCACTCTTTCAGAAACATATCTGCTCTCTGAATTCCTGTGGGGACAGATAACTTAGAGGTCTTGACTTACCAGCTAAAGTGTGATCAATTTATTTGTATCAGAGCTTGCAACACTTAAGGGTGGCAGCCTACCACAAATGATTATCCACGTTTTACTTTCATTAGAGGGATGAACCACTTTCACCAATGTGAATGGCACTTGCTGCTCCTCTCCCACACTGCTCAGCACTGCATGAGGACTCCTGGCCCATATTCTTGCAGCGTCTGGGCTGCTGTGAACAACCTGGGTACTCAGACTCTGTAGTGCTTCATGCTCATGTCCAAGAGAACTGTTTATTATGTTTACATAGAGCATGAGCAGTGTGGAAAACACTGGAAATATTGCATTGGTGGTTTGGGTTTTGGACAGCATTGGAAATGGCGATGCAGCTGCTCACATCGTGTCTGTATTATGAGGTATGCAATATGCCATGAGGAGCCAAAGCTTTGCACTTTCATTTGGGAAGTGCCCACCTCTGGCACATCCACTGCTTGCTCCTCTAGCGCCACAGTTATGCACTTAGCTGTCTGCTTTTTCTCCATTTCACTTGGAACTTGTAATTTTAGTACAAAAGCACAGGTTTTGAAACCAATCCTGCTAATCCACAAGACTGCTCCCACTCCCTCCTCCCATCCCATCCCAACTCATCCCATCCCCCATGCTCCCACCAACACATACCTCCTTCCCCTCCCTTTCACCCCGGTCACACAGCAAATATCCTGATGCTGCAATTCCAAGCCATGTGTCCGCCCCAGCCTATGCGATCCAATGGTCTCTGACCAAGTCCCTTTGTTCAGAGGTTAATACAAAACACACAATAGGAAAAAAACAAAACAAAAGGAGCCAGACACAAGAGGGAGACACACTGCCGGGCTCCAGATCTAGCCTCTGAGCCCTTCAACTAAGCTCCACAGCAGCTAGGCTCTTGGGCTACCACCTTTCACACTCAAGGCTGCAGGTCCCAAGGTTTCCAAGGTGCATAGGAAAAGGAAGAAAGGAAGTAAACTACAAGCCTGTTTCTGTTTCAGGTTCCCCCCATCCATTTCCCTCAACCCAATGGCTGCTGGAGGATATTCTTGACTCCGACAGGTCTTTTCCCGTCTTCCAGTGAGACCCTGCCTGGGAACCAGGTTCACTGTAAGTCATTGGTTCCTCTCTGGAACATGGGCAATGGGTTTTGCAGTGAGGGGAGGAAGTGGAGCACATTGTCGGGGGATGGCAGGCTTTTGTCTCAGAGCAGGTGGGGGGGACATGTTAGGGAAGGCGAGAGGAAAGAGCCAAAGGAAGCTGGTAAAGCTGGCCCTCTGCTTGATGTTTGTACTCAAGACTTCTTGGGGCAGCTTCAGTGTGCCAGTGCTGGCCTGTTGTCCAGTCACCTCTCGCAGCCCTGCTGAGAAAAAGCACGTGGCATGGTGCTTCCGGCTGCTTCATCCTCTGGCTGGCTGCCCTCATGCCCGCTGGAGATCTCTGAGTCGCAGTCAAGCGCCTCATAGATGGTAGGCAGTGTGGTCTGCTGGCTGAGGCGCTTGCGCAGGCCCACGAGCAAAGGCTGTGGCATGGATGAGACATCCACGTTGTTGCCAAGGTCAACCCAGGCTAGGCAAGGAAATTTGTTCATGTCCTTCATGGTATCAGTCAGCTCCTTCATGGTCGCCCGCGTCAGTCGGTTGCCATTGAGGGAAAGATGAGTGAGCTTGGGTAGTGCCCAGAGGAAGGGCAGCAGCAGGCGCACCATATCATCATTCAGCTCGGTGAAGCTCAGGTCCACAGAGGTGAGGTGGTCCTTGTTGTTCTGCAGGTAGTAGGCCATGCGGTGGACATCCCGCATGGTCAGGGGGATCCCTGACAAATCCATGGAGTCCTGGCTTGCTTTCTTCTGTAGGCTGGTCTTCAGGCTAATGGTGGAAAAGGGGAGAGACAGGGACATCATTAAGGAGACCACTTGTCCATCTCTAACCCAAGTGAGAGAGCACTTGGGACAGGGGAGAACTCATTAAGAACGTGGGCTAGAACGTTAAGCAAAGGGTTAATGGAGTTCATTGGAGAAACAGGCACAAAGTTTGCACCATGCCTCTGGGCAGACTGTGTCCTGGGGCTTTCCTGTATATTCTCAGCACTTACACATAAACGTTGCCAGACCTGGCTAAACACAGGATGCTGAAGTATCTTCCACTAGCACATTTCAATGGGTTTGGCTTTTTGAGCATGTAGAGATGCTCATGCATAGAAAGCAGAAATAACCAAGGCAAGCAAACTTTCAAGGTGTGCTGGTTTGCACTGTGAGTGGGCTGTTTGTGCACCACCTGTCCAAGTGAATGCCAAAGTCTGCTGCAAGTAGACTGTGCTGCAGGGCTACTGCAGAGGACAGAAGTGTTAAAAGGCTGAGAAATGGGTATTTTATCAGGAAAACAACCTATAGGCAAACTGCACTCCAGGAGTGGATTTACTGCATGTCCCTTTAAAAGCCCTCCGAAGCAGCACTTAGTCATTAAGCAACACCAGTGGCTGCCTATTTGGGTCTCTGTGGTCAGCAAATCATCTGGGATCTGCTGCAGCTGTGAGGACATGGGGGTGCTAAAAGAAATCTAGAGAGGGGGTTTTAGCCATTTCTTCTGCAGTCTGCCTGGCATGTGGAGTGAGGATGAGGTAGGTAAGATGTGCAGCTGGCAAAGGTGTGCTATGAGGCTGTGTATGCAAGAGGAGTAGGATGAGGAGTTTTATGACGGACTGTGGGATTGTGAGAGTGCTGTGGGAAGTGGAAGCTGTGGGGCCATAGGAGCTGGTGGGGATATGCTGCAGGAGAACCTAATGTCTTGGTGTAAATGATATTAGTTTTGCTGTCCTTTCAGGCAGATCTAGCTTTAAGGTTAAGGGAGCCCTAGTAGGACCCCCACTAATCGGTGTCACTAAATCATGTGCTCAGTGGGGTCTCTAAGTGCCTTGTTGAGCTTGGGAGGAGCAGGGTGGGTTAAGAATTAACCACCAATTTGAAGGTCCCCACTCTTCCTATCTGGCTCTCCGTAGTGTCCTGCACACCCGTGGCACAGCCAGTCCCTGAAAGCAATGGGTACACGGGGACATGCAATTTCCTCGGAGGAGGCTGCAGCACCGCAGGAGCTCCCATGGCAGGTGAGAATGTCCCTACAAGCACTAGAGTTGCCAGGCCCTTCTGCAGTTGTGAGAGGATGTGACACTGCTTCTATAGCTTTGCTTTACACATGCAGTTCATGGCATCCTGGAAATCTCAGTCCTTAATAATCCCCTATGAGCATGTCATGCAAGTGAATAAATGTGCATTAGTGCAGGCAACAGCCCTTTGTGGACACATTCAACACTGGCAAACCTGTAGCTGTGCTTTCTTGTAGGAGTGTGAGGGGAAAGACCTCACGGCCTGTCCTGTCAATTCTCAAGCCCACAAATACCTATTCTGGGTTAAGCAGCACTTTGTTCAAGGCTGCTTCTTTATGTCCTTATGCTTCTCATAGGAACTCACTGTGCAAGGCTCAGGCTGTATCTGCAAACTTGCATTTGAGTTAATGAGCTTTAATTGTAGACAGGTAGTAACAATATGAAATAACTTCAGGCCTAAAGGTTTAAAACAGCCTTATGCATTACTCAGTGTTTACACTTTACATAACCCAGACTACTTCCCAGTGAATCACGGGACGGGGAAGGGGAGCAGCGCTTGTCTATACTGTACAGCAGAGACTGATGTACTGGTGAAATATTAATTTGAAACCACACAAATAAGTTCTCCAAAGGGCCTTCATTTGAAGATGGTACTTGATCTCTCCAGTATCAGGGCCCCAGAGACAGGATTGTGAAGAATTAATCAATCACGTTGCTTGTTGCAGCAGTGCAGCTCTCTTAGCTGCTGCAATAACAGTAGTAGGAGTTGTGAACTATGCATACTGCAGACTGGAAGGCACTGGACTAGCCCCACTTTTTGTGCTACATCAAGGGATGCTTGATATCAGCCCAGGCTGCCTTGGAGCTGTATCTTGTCAACTCTCCTGTTGGGTGCTTTTTTGGTATAATTTGTCACCAGTGACTAGCAGTGGTGTGGCACAATCTACCACAAAAGAGGGTTCAAACTGTATAAACTCTATCAGGGACTGGCCTCAAAGCTGGAAGAGTCTTCAGTCTCCCCTGAAACAATGTTATCCCTTTAGCTGTTCTAGGTGTTTTATCTGGGTGTTTGATGCAGAGTACTTGTTCTAGCAAAACTAAGCATCAAATGCACAGTGGAGATATGCATTCATACTGGTGTGAGATTAAGCAGGGAGAAATTAATCTTGAATGTAAGCCTGATTGCACAGGGGAAATAGTCCCCTTTCTCTATCCAGTAAGGGCTGGTGCAGGAGGTGAGATGGAAGCCTTCTCTGGCCTGTACTGGTTTAGAGTAAGACTTTGTTGGGGGTCTGGGGGAACACAGGATAACAAGCATAGAGGTAAGCCTGCAATGACTTCAGTGCCTGTTTTGTGCAAACACAGCCTGTGGTTCCTGGAATTCCTTTTCCCCAGTGCTGTCAACCAACGGCAGATCCTGGGTGGGGGGAGCACACAAAGGAGACATAAACATAGGGCCTCTCCAGCCCCAAGCCTTGTTGGAGTCTGTTCAAAGCTTCATCTGACCTTCCCATTACAAAGCTGCAAAGAACAAGCCTTAGTGCTCCCAGTTTGGTATGGGGGTGGGAATCAGGCTGGAGTGGGGACCACTGGAGGGCATGTCTGAGCCAGCACCACTCCCTCTGCCGGGCCTCAGCGTTCAGGTGCCGGTTTTCCTCTGCTACGTCTGCAGCAGCAGCTTTCTTAACAGGGGGCAAGTTTGAAGGGCTCCTGGGGTCCCATTTTGAGTGACTTGGCTCTGAGTGCAGACAGTGTTACGTGAGGGGAAATGTCAGAAGGACAAAAGCAATGTGTTTGTCTGTCTCTGCCCTATTAAGCTTCCCCTCCTGTTGACTGCCGTGTAGGCACTGCAGTAATAAGTCATGTATCATGCTCTGACCAGAGCAGGTACCCCTTGCTGCTCTCCCCAGCAACAAGCCAACACACCAAGGAGGCTTAAATCAAGCAGACAAATTATCTTCCCATAACTGATTCTCCAGACTGGACTGTTCCTGGCTGAATGTGCTTAAAACCCCCTGTCCTGTGCCAGAGCCCGCCCTCTCTCCTTTGCTGGCTTGTTTTTCTTTCCTTTCCTGTACTTCTGCTGCTTCCTTTTGCCCTCATTGCTGTACCTGCCAGGATGACTCTGTGCCTCCTGTCTCAGCACTGTGGGCTCATTCTGTATTTAAGTTACTCTCTTGCTTGTAAAAATGCCTCTTGTAGGGATATGTCTGTAGAAGCCTCACCCTGGTGGACATAACCCCTAATCCCGCAGCAAGGCCCTCAGCTCTCTGGTAAGTGCTGAAGCATGAGATCTGATGCCTCACGCATGCTAGCTCCAAGAGGTGGTTATGTGCAGCTAAATACTATCTCTAGGGCAGGGCACAGAATAGCTGCCCACTCCTTTTCTTCTATTGCTTTAGAGGTAAATATATCTGCTGTCAGAAAAGGGACAGGGAGATCTGGGTAGATGCTTTATTCTGAATTATCTGTCACTTAGTATTTTTTTTTGGAGCTCTGCTAAGCTCTATTTCTCAGGGGAGGAGGGAGGGTGCACGATAGACTGGACACCAGGCTCAGACACTTCAGCAGCAGCTGAGAAAATGCCAGTTTTAGTTCCAGGGAAATGGAAGTAAACTATAATCCCCTAACTTCTGCATGTGAAATAGGCTTAAAGATTGCTTCAGCTTCCTCTGTGTGGGACAAGGCAGCAACTTAGGACATCGGTCTTGATGCCCAGCGGACTTGTGGGCAGAGGACTGCAAAGCTCTGGAGGCTGGATGCCAGCAACTTAATGCTATTGCAACTGGTGCTGTGTGCAGATTAGTAATTGTGGGGATTTGCATTTAACAAGGATCTGGACCTTGGCCGCAGGGAAGCAGACTGTGTTGTATTATCTGCGACAAGCTCAGAGAGGAAACAAACCCCCTGTTCCCTGGAGAAATGGCTGAAAATGAGAAATTCTGTGAAACATTAAGCAAGGATAATCAGCAGCCTGTCCCCTCCTGCCTGCCTGCAGCTACATGAGCATCCAGTAAGGGACACCTGGCCTGCTGACCCTCCTGCTTGCAACCATGGTCCAGCACTGCTGAGGGATGAGAGCTCTTCTTGGTACATCTCCTTGTTTCTGCTGTGAAACAAGTTTTTTCTTGTGTTTTTCCTAACTCCCTCCTTGGGGTCTGGTCTTTCTCCCACTAACAGGCAGGCAGCCTTCCTTTCACCCTTCCCTAGATGCCAAGTCTACCCTTCAGCAGTCCCCGGGCTGCACCATGAGCCTGGCCATGTAAAATCCACACAGGATCAGCCCAGAGAGCAGTGATTCTAAGGGACCTGCACACGTCAGAGTAAAGCTCACTCTCCTTTAGCTGGAAATTTGGGCTAGGAAAGGGATGAAATGATCTTGTGCCTCTATTGGCTTTTTTCTGGGGTAAAAATCTTCCTCTCTCCAGATAAGGCTCAGTCACTGTTCCTTTCTCCTGGAAACTCAGCTAAAATAAGCAAATTCAGAGCTATCTTGAGATGAAACAATGAGGAGACCTGAACTGCTAGTCATTTTTCTCCAGGACCTGTCCTAAGGGACTTAACCCTTAGGCCATCTTCCAAGTCCTTCTTTGAGTCCATGAAGCTAAGGACTCAGCACTTGTATATATTTATTAGTACTGAATCCCTTCAATATCTCACTCATCAGCTAAATTCTTTGGTGGCTGCAGGGAAGGGGTATAACATCTCCTGACCATTGGTCTGATGGGATTTGCCAAGCACTGCTGTGGCTGCTGCCTCTTTTTAG